CACTTTGCTTCCTTTCGAAATCCAGTACCTGCAGTAGCTGAGAACAAACAGGAGACATTGCCGCGTCGGTTTCGGAGACTGTTCACTGCAGACTTAACAAGTGGTCCATCTAGAGGAGTTAGAGTGCATTTTTGCGGTCCTTGTTATCTCCTACTCCAGCGAGTGTTATTATCTCTAGCAGAGCGTATCGGTCTCCGCGTACAGTTATATGAATTGAGACAAACTACTGTACTCCGTAGCTCGGAATACGGCGAGAGTTCCTACTATTTCTCGTTACAGAAAACCCTTCACTGGAGACTTCACACGCCATACATTCACTGGGCTTGGAATCGTGCCTACGTCCTTTGGGCGACTTTGTCGATCGGCACGTAAGTAATCTACGGTGTGCTGTTGCAAGAGACAAGAGGGGAAACACTAGTCTTCAGATTACAGAGCACCGTTCATTGGGGACGTGGTTCAATCAGAGGGCATGGGATTGTGTTTACGTTCTTCTTGCTTTCCTCATCACATGAGTGACTCTGTCTGTGGGGGAGTGCGTCGGTTGTCACACCTAGCTATCTGACCTTTGGTAATTTTAGGCGTGCTGTAGCCTGGAACGGACAGGATTCACTGCATCTTGTCTAAAATTTATTATATCTACATTAACAGTTGTAACTGGTACCGCGAGGTGGATTGCCATACGCGGTCATACTTTTCTTCCATTCCAATGTAGCACCTAGCTATCGTACGGACAGAGTAGAAACCCTGCTGCTGCCATCCCACCGATCACACCCTGCGGAACGCAACTGTTGTTAATTTTTGCTGCCTGCAGTGTTGAGTGGAACGTAGATTACGGTTGCCACGCATTTGCACCGTTTAGTCAGTAACTTTCGGTTCGCGCTCGCATTCGGCTGTCTGCGATGTTTCCAATTACTGCTTGCAATATGCGCTACCGAATGCGATCTCAGAGTATGGATTACCTGCCTATCGCATCCTGCAGTTGGCCACATGACTCTTGTCAATTCTTTTCTTAGACTGCCGCCGGCCGAAGTCCCCCTGGCGTCTTCATAATTTACGTGCTAAAACAAATTTGTCATGGATTGAAACTCCATCCTCCCGAACCAACACAATTGCCGGTCGCGGATAAAGTTTTTTTTATCTACGGCACCAGTTACATGATTCCTTTAAGTCAGTAGGAAATACAGTAGGTGGGCTAACTCAAGAAATGTCATACAAAATTTTAAAATACGTTTTGGTTTCGAAAAGACAAATTAAGTAGAGATTTAAAATTAATACATGTGCAGCACAATACTATAATAATCCAATTACCTCAGGATGCCGGATTTCGGACAAACTTTCTTCCGGTTGCATGTAATACTATACTCTGTACAGATTAACTAATTATGGAGCATCAATTTTTCTTATTGATTTTTGATGACCCTGAAAATCCAAATATATTTTATGGAAAACATGCATAAAAATATTCGTTATTGTATTTATTGTGTAGAGGATTTCATCTTGCAGTTTGACACTGGACGGGAGGGTATAAATCGTTTTTAAAAAAACGTTTCCGATCCCCGAATAATTTTGAACCCAACTTGCCGTTACACTTGCATTCAGGGTTTCAAAACTACAAGCCGTGTATTTTCCGCATGGAGAAAACCCTGCATTTCTCTACGGTATTAAGAAGAGACAATGCAAATACTATAAAACTTATCAGTGGATTTGTACCGTATTGCTAACTTAACAAACCACATCGGTAAAAGCCGGCGACATAACGCTTTATGAACGGCCATTTCACGATATTAAAAAATCTCACAATCAGGGACTTTTTTAAAACCGAATTACGCCCTTTTTTCGAGTATAGAATTGCAAGAAGACGTTATGTTCTACCGAATGAGTAAAATAAAAAAAATTTGTTATACCCGCTTTCCATGAAATATAATAACATTATTAAGGGCATCGAAAATTAATATGAAAAATGCATCCTACTTTAGTGGTCATTTTTACAGAGTACAGGTTTAGTATGTAACCGGTAGGACGTTCGTTCGACAGACAGCATCCTGCGGTAACTAAATTATAATAAAACTATGCTGCATGCTGGTTAGTTTTAAAAACCTACTTAACTTATCTTCTCGAGAATGAAACGCTTTTCGGAATTTCGGTTAACATTTCATTAGTTAGCCCACCTACCGTTCGTGTGCTGTCTGCCCAGCAAACAGAACTTCCATTACGTAATTTGTCGTCTGCATCCATCCATTTTTCCACGTGTCTTTTGCGTTACGGAGGGCTTGCATTACCGAGTACACCTTCTCCACTTTCTTCGCAGTCAACTTCTGTTTCCACTTTCGTATACGTGGATGCGCATAAAGTACGCGTGTTTGCAATGGCTATCTGATAGCATATTTAGATTATTACCTAGGTTGCTGCTAGTTGCGTTTCCCTTTTGCGGCGTGACAAGCTCGACTTACAAAATTTTCCATGTCTTGCGGAATTGTGCATGTTCAGTTTTATACCAAACCACAGTTGGTATTGCAATATATGCACGTTTGCCCACACCGTTCTCCCAAGTATACTATCGCTTCTGCGTGGATTGCGTTTAAGCCTAGTTAAACTTCCTTCCTTCGCATTTGTGTGACAGTTCAGTTTTGCTTTAAAAAAAATTCCGCGAGTGATGAACCGTGTAGCGCTAGTAACCTTCCGGGGTAGGCGCGTGTACGCCTTCCATTCGTCAGTTACAGTTACGCTACCCGGTGCAACCCACCTCCTACGACACCTTGGTAGTCTGCGGTTTTTTTTTTCATTAACCAACTAGAGCAGACCTTTCTTCTGGGACCTACTGTACAAACATGTCTTACTGCTTGGTCCGCTCACCATCATATTTCCTCTACGTTTCATCTACATGCACCTCTACTCAGGGTCCGCCGAATCGCTGTACCTCTCTGGGGAGAACATTTGGTCAGACAGTACGTCATAGTTCATACCAGCTGATGGCTGCTGCTTCAAAATGATACATTATTGCATTGAGGTCTTCGGATAAAAAGGTAAAGTATAGGTTCATTACGTTTTTCATGCTGAGCCGGATACTTTGAAAGAGCGGATCTGTGCTCAGTGCCTTTTTGCGTTTACATCTTCTTCACCTGAACTTAAATCCGTCTCAATCCTGCCACAAGATTTAATGGTCCATTGTAGAGCCACAAACATACAATGAGTGACCGATCTTATGAAATGTACACTGAAATTCTGAAATGCGTTTTCGTTTAGGAGAGATTACTTAGTTGCATTTATTATAATGGTTGTCTTGGGACATAATCTCTTCGCTTCTATCCGCAATACTCCCATGATATTTCAGACTCGACAGGATGTCAGCTTTTAAACACACTATTTTTTAATCCCCTGTAGAGGCCGTAATCACAAACAATGAGTACTTAAGTAGCATGCATATGTCCCATTGATTTTCAATGGCCCCGCAAATTCAGATAGAAACTAAAATCAAAAGTGTGTTTTCTTTCAGTATTTTAATAGAGAATCCCGTCATTTTTTAATATTTTATACTCCAAGAATGCGAACAATGAGGTTTTAAAAAAGTTTCTAACTATGAGATTTTTTAAGACCGCGCGATGCCTATACAAATAACACCGTACCTGTCCGTTCACCATTGCTCCTAATAAAAATGTACAACATAGTCCGCATCCATTTCAAGATTTTACGGCCTCTTTGTAGTGTCTTCTTAAAAGCATAAAAGAGCATGTGAGTTTCATTACGTGGGACACATTCACCTTATAGACTGATATCACTAAGCTCTAATTCAGCGACTGATCAGCCTCCAACTTGTTCGGCAATAAAAAAACTTTTTAAAACCTTATTTAACGCCTTCTTGGAGAATTAAATATAAACATAATGTGATTCTCTATTAAAAGACTGAAATCAATCGGAAATCAATGAGACATATGCATACTACAGGAGTACTCATTGGTTACTGAGCACGGTCTCTACAGGGGATTGAAAAACAGTGTATTTAAAAGCTAACATCCTGCCGAGTCTGAAATATTACAGGAATATGCCGCAAGGTAATCAGTATTACAACCGCGCCTAAGTAAGCCCTCTTAAACGAAATCGCATTTCAGAATTTCAGCCAACATTTAATGAGATCGGTCACTCACTGTACGTCAGCTGCGCTGACAACAGAAACGTTTCCCTGTAGTAGCTAATTAGTCCGGTGGTACTGATTGTGCGTTGAATGCTTTGAACTTCCGTACATAATTAATTCCATCGCGTTCTAGGCTTACAGTGGTCTGGGATTCAATAAGGATGCATCTGCACACATATATTTCAAAGTATCTCTAAAATATATAGCATCTAACTACATGTCACTATGTCCCTAAGTTGCAACCAAACACTTACTAAACGTTTCAAGGTTGGGCTACCAGTCACAAAATTACTCCGCATTCGGACTAACTGCAGTAAAGTCGGTTCAGTTACTTCGATGTCCTCAGTCAATTACCGTTTCCGATCTAATGTTTTCTTATTTACCGTTATTTCGTTGTTTATTTTGCTTTTCCCCTTAAAATTCCTCCTACTCTGCCGTGCATTTAAGCACTTTTCGGCGTTGGCTTGATTTTTCCTCCTTTATTAGGTTCCTGGTACGCCTCCTTGACTTTTGGGGTGCCCCACCCATAAACACCTCTGCTACCATCATATTCGTACTGAAAAGAGTTTTCAGTCTACGTAACCAGTTGAACGGCCAAAAGATCCGTCTTACCGACCAAAGAGGTATACGCATTCACGGGTGGCAAGGAAGCGAATGCTTACTTCTTGTCACTCAAGGCATCGCTGCCCGGCTATGACAGAGCAACGATCCTCACAGGGAACATCGAATTCTAAAGCGTTCGACCAAGCGGCTGAATTGCGACAATGTGGACGCGGGTGTCCGCCGACAAGAAGGAAAGAAGACGTCAAAAGTTGACAGTGGAATGTTCTCTCAAGGTATTCCATATCAACCAGGTCATCCGGACTGACAGATGCAGCCGCCTTCGAAGCCACCAGATAGCCGCTGCCTAGGCAAAAGAGTGGCTTGCAAGCCTCGAGTCTCGCAGACCAGCAATCCCGACATCCGTTCCCTTTACTCCTTCCCACACCGCCGGCGGACATTCCGCGTGCGATCGGCCTGGCCAAGCATTTCACTAGACAGTTCACCAACAGCACGGCAAATACGTCTCCCACCTCCGAAAACGCCCCCATCATCACCTGCTAATGCAGCCACCAAGATGTTCACAACAACCACGACCTCCGCGACCAATGTCATGGGTGCATTCCTCGCCCCCGATGTCCCGCCATCCACCACAAACGCCACTATCAATATCACAAACCCCCGCGATGCCGACGACGACAACGTCAATGGTCACCAGCATCCCCACCAAAAGTGAGACCTTTCCTCACGCCCTGTGGACCATCACTGTTGCCGTCCCCACCGTCGCCTTTACCACCAACAATGCGCGCCTTATCTCAGCCTGTCCCGACCGTAATCACAACCCGTCATCACGCATTGGCCTGATCGGTCGCTGGCGAATCCATGGCCCTTTGATAGCCAAATCAGTGCAAGTAGCCTCTATATAATTCAGTATAATTTACTACAAATAAGGGAAATAAACAGAGTCCAAGAAAACTCTATTTACCGACATAGGTGAGGAGCATGCACATAGTTGCATAGTCATCATGTCTGATCTTGGTATCAAGACAGTATTCGATCTTTGAATATTCGATGCTTGATTATAAATTTGCCAAGTCCCCTTTTGAAGGGTCCCAAAATGTTTCGCCAAGACAACAGAAATCGGCAGTTCGCCTTGTCCTTCAACCACCCGATGGGAAGAGAATTTGGCTCGCACTTCACGTTTGGTATGTTTTGTCTCCAGTTTGTTTTGGTGGCTTTGAAGCGTGGTCGTTCATGCCAGTTCAAAAAAGTCATCAAACCTAAGAACACAGTCTAACCCTCTGACCATTCTAAAGACATGTTCATTCCCCCTGTATCGCTAATAAAAGAGGAAAAACATCTTTAGTCTTTCAAGCCGTCTTTCATGAGGCAGTCATATAAATCTACCGATTATATAGGTTGACGTTCGTTGTATATTCCCTAGAAGGACGGAATATTTTCAGCCCAGTGACGGCACGCCTAAGCAAAGTAGTCTAACATTTGGTCTCTTACACGTCTATTAAATTAAGTGAATCTGATATTCATATGTTGTTTGCTAAATTGATTGCTTGGGAAATCCTGCTTGGACAGTCAGCTCACTGTGTAATAATTGGTGGATTCTGAAATCTCCTCGTTTGTAGAATTAGACCCATACCGCTCCTCTGGTTTTGAGTTATTGAGTCCCGACTCTAGAAGGTCTCAAAGGATTCCATCAGGACAGCGGAATTCAACAGTTTGTCTTATCCTTCAACCATGAGTTGGGCGAAGAATTTGGATCGCGATCCAAGTTTACAATATTTTGTTTCCAGCTTGTTTTGGTGCCGCTGAAGAATGGTCGTTTATGCTAGTTCAAGAAAGCCAATGAACTGAAGAGCACAGTCTATCCCTGTGACAATTCTAAAGGCAGGCTCATATACCCTCTGTATTGAAAATAAGAGAGAGGAACTATTTTTAGCCTTTCCAGTCGACTTTCATAAGGCGAGCATCTTAATCCTCCGGTCATTTAGGCTGCTTTTGGTTATATGTTCCCCAAAGGGGTCGAATCTTGTCTCGTCTATAGACACCACACCTGGGCGCATAATTGAAACATTGGCCGAGCAAATGTTCCTAACACTTGACTGAAGAGCTCTTTGTCGAAATAAGCAAAAGGTCTCCTGATACCACCCAAGATGCAAATAGCCTTCTGTGCTACTTAGTTGGAGTGAGACCACGGTAAAAACTGGACGTCATTCACACTTCCAAGTCCATTAGATCGTTAACTTGTTCCATTTGGTGACCTCCAATGAAGCGGTGATATTTAAATCACATCATCCTTCCTTTGTGAGATCGTAATCGAATAATTGTACGCTTGTTAAAGTTGAGGTTAAGGAATCACTCACCACACCACTTCCACGAGCAGCCTCAGTTATTCTAAAATTTTAGCACATCTTCCTGTTTTCCGTTGATTCCCACACATTGACATCGTCAGGAAATATAACCCGCTTACAGCTAAGGCGATCTAGTCAGACATTCAGAATGGGTCCCAGAACGCTTCCATTTTTTAAGCCAATAAAAAGGTAGCACATTTCGGCCTAGCCTTACCAATGCAACCGAGTGAATACCTGCCCGTGAGGAAATCAGTCAGACATTTCAGCAAATTCCCATTCACGCCCACTTGACCTAATTTAAATTTGCTAATAGAAGCGAAGGGGCGAGTTCCAGGAAGCAGAGTCGAAGAAGGGTGCATGATCGTTAGAAAAAGAGCTTTATTAGCCCGAAGTCTCAGATTCTTACTTGAATCCGGGTCGGGTGCAGCTGTTGGCAATTAACGATGTCGGAGTAACCGGAAAGCTATCCCGAACACGGATGCCCAGTCGGGAATCAGCAGTGAGGAGGAACGATCCCGGTAAGATGTGCTTTGGTAGCCCCACCTGATGGATATAATACTGTTGGGGTTGGGGTAAGGGGTTATGGTTAGAGGTTAGGGGTTATAGGTTGGGGTGAGGGTAAGGGGGTGGGGTTTAGGATTAGGAGTTATAGTTAGGGGTAAGAGTTATAGTAAGGGATTAGCGCAATTAAATCTCAGCGATTGAAGGTACAACCACGCATTCCGAATAGCTTTTCTATTGGGTACAACTACTTGGCATCATGGCCTGTGCGTTCCCCGGCCCCAATTGTAGAAACCCTCTTACTACCTGTCCCGTATTAGAGGTGACTGGGGTTTGTTTACTTCAGGTGGAGTCACCAAACCACATCCGACCACAATGGCAGGTCTCGCGTTGCTGGTCATTCGACAGGACTCATCCAAAGAATCAAGTTTGAGTAGGCAGAAATTCTTGCTAGGGGTGACAGCCACGTGAGCCGCGAAGTTATCGAATCATGGTTTTTCGGTCCTCAATCAACTGAAAAACGTAACGATCTCCCAGATCCATATTCGGCGCTAAGATTTTGCCAAGGCCGCGAAGAGTGCGTGCGGATGACCATTCTTACTGGCGTCAACCTAGGCAAGCCAAACTGCCCAAGAGCCCACACAGATGACAAAATCCGGCAGTCAGCAAATCGCCTGCGTGCGCTGATCGTAGGAGCTGATAATCTTGACTAACACACTGCTGGATAGTAACTGCTAGGCAACTGCATACTTCAACACCTGACCAGTCGAGCCGTAATGCACTCGGAAGCTGCCAACTGTGATAGGCATGAAGTGGCATAGCAACTACATCCCATTAATACTGCCATACCTGGGTAATTTAAATTTCAGTCGTATGTGTAGAACACTGCACAAAAGTCTTTAAGCATTCAATGTGTCTACTGATAAACCCATTTCAATTTATTCCATCCAGCACTCCATGGATACAAGCAGGCTAGTAAGACAAACTCGATCCATTTTGAGTTCGTGGTAATGCGCAATAAGGACGTTTTTTCGGTTATATGCCTCACTGACTCTGTTTTTATAATCTTTTCTATCATTTTGCTAAGAATGATTGTGATTCTGACTGGACCAAAGTTATTCAGGGAGGTTGCCCCGTTCCCTTCATATATGCGGCTTATGCTGGTTTGCTTCCATTTTGTAGACAGAACCCCAGCCTCCACAGAAGTTTCGAAGGTCTTCGAGGTAGGAGAGGCCAGTTTGTCCTAAAATCCATCGAGCACTTTTGTGAGTATACCGACCGTATCGGGCGATTTAGTAGGTTCTTAGAGTTTTCTTTAAAGCGTCTGTTTTAAACGCTACCGGACTGACTGAATCATTAGATGTGCAAATTGGGTGTATAATCTCTCGTTAAAAGCCGAAACCTCCATATACATGGATAAGAGGTTCGCATTATTTCACTTATCCGGCAGTTTATTTCCCTGGCAGTCGACTCACATGCCGAAGAGTATGCATTTGTCGCACGGGCCAATGCGGTCTTATGCTCATTCATGAAAATCTGTGGCAAAACGTTATAGTTCAAATCGAATCAGTTCACACGCCCTTAGTCCACATACCGACTTGCCCACGAAACGTCGACTGTTCGATAGTAAGTAACATTGACCTCAAGCATGCACTCGGCAGCATAACGGCTCAGGGACAGAAATGTTTGAAAGATCGCCCCGGGCTTAAAGTGAAGGCATTTATTATAATTATCTGCGAATGTCTCTGATGATGATATGTAGTGAGAATCCGAAACGCCATGCCAGCAAACTTCTTGCTCCAGTAGTCGCATTTTCCAATTCGTCAGAACTGCTTTTTATAACTCGCCTGTTCACTTCTATTCGCACTCCTTTTGTGCTAAAGCATGCGCCTACTCCTTTTACCTCACGGAACAGCATAGTTTATCGCTTCCCTTTTATTATTTCTTTAGCATGTACATCAACGGAGGGAAAGTGATGATTGAATTATTTTACGAATAAATTTAACAGAAGTGAATACTGTTTTTGTCAACTCCTTACAAGTGAAGGTTGGACTTTCTTCCAGAAATCAACATCAAGTTAAGTTTATTAAGCTAATAATTTCGAAGATTACTAAGCAAAGGATATATGCTTCAGATCCGGGACAGGACTTTTATGATCTGATGTTCGCATACCAAAAACCACATAAGCAACGCTAAGGAACGCATTGAGTAGGCGAGCCCTTAAATGTATCTTCATTGTAAAAACGGAAAAATTGACAAAACATGTGTCTAGGCTTTAAGCTACTTCTATGTTGACAGTACGATTAAAAATTTAGTCAAGTTAAATTATGTTAGGCCGGGAAAGTAAAACGTCCTCAGAGTTACGGTTGTGGCTATTCGGCTGGATGCTGCTAACGCTGCAATATCTTGCCAGTCGCATTGATCTTTTAGTACATTTTATCATCAGGCAATCGGATGAGCCCTGTTTTGGATGACCACAATACTGCCTGATATTCTTCAATGTCCTAATCAGCAGTCGAATACGAATGGTCCTGTCTTCAAAGTAGCATGCAAGAATGGTATGTAGTCTTCCAGAATTGTTCAATAACAACCGGTAAGTTACACAAATAAAACATTGCATGTCGGACAAACACAGTACCCCGCGCAATTCGTAGCAGAAAGTGGAGAAGAAGGCATGTACAGCAACAGCACGAGAACATAAGATCGTCAATGTCTCTCAAAAAACGGACTTCTAAATCTGCGGAAATGGCCGTATTTGCATTTGCACAACTTACTAATTGTCTAAGTTTCTAAACAGAACCAACCAGGAATTTCTAGACATGATTCAGTGAACATATATTGGACCTGGCAGATGCCAATGAGAATCAGT